ACGGCCCGTTCTGAAACTGGAACGGGCCATTCTGGTTGCACTTTTGGTGTGTTAATTTCGCACCTAGAACGGGTCGTTCCGGATGCAAAATTAACGCATCAAAAGTGCAACTAGAACGTCCCGTTCCGGTTTCAGAACGGGCCGTTCTAGGTCCAGGTGTTTCAAGAAAATTGTCATCCACGTGACATCCACGTATGCATCTACGTGACATTCACATGGCCAAAAGTTAACTCCGATTAAATAATTTGGACGAAAGTCCCACATTGAAACCAATTAATTAATTTGGGACTAAATTGAAATCAATTAATTAATTTAAAATTAAATTGAAATTAAAAATAAAAGTGGGACTAAATTGAAACAAACAAAATTAATATAAGGAACAAAACAATTAATACACTCTCCAGTCTCCCCTCGCGTAGATCCATTCCTGTGCTTCCAACGTATAATATGCTAATTTTTTTTAAAAAAATTATTTTAATTTTAATATAAACAAATGGAGAGAAACGAAAATAGTGTAAAAGAAGTTGGCAGCATGGGAAATTGCAACAAGTCGGGGGACGAAAATGCAAAGAGAAGTGTCAGTATCAATCAACGTTGTAGGCGCCAGGCAGTGGAAAAGAAACACGGGAGAGTGAGTGAGTGAGTGAGTTCGAACTTCGAAGCTCCCAACATTCTCTCTTCTCTTCTCTTCTCTTCTCTTGTCTTCTGGCATTGCCACTATGCTTTAAGCAGTTCTAGGGTTAGGGCTTTGGCTTCTCAGAAATGGAGGGATACAGAAGGAAGGCGCACATAGCGCTGGTCGCCATGGTGGTGCTCGCTTCCCTCGCTGTCTTTGCTTTGCTCATCGCCCTCTCTTACTACTGCTACATCCTCAACAAGCTCTCTAACCGCCGCAAAACCCTCAAAAAAGGTTCCTACCCCTCTCTAACTTACTCATACCTTCTTTATATTTACTTTCACTTCTCAAACGTCTATAACTATAACACTCATCAAACTAAACTACACTTTACAAATCTTTCAAAACGTAAAATAGTTGAAGTAATGTGATATATATTTTTTAAAACTAGAAATAAAAATATATAGTACTTTTTCAAGCGAAGGTGGTCCTTATATTTTTTTTTTGTATTTATGTTTAATTAATTTAATTAATAATCACATATCGATCTTTGCACTTGTAAAAAAAAAAAAAAAAACTGAAGTATGATGCAATCAATATTGATACTGCTTGTTCATTGATATTCATTATATTTTTTTTCCTCTGGGATTATTTCTCATTTGTATTGTCTGAGAATTGCAAGTAACTTTTGGTTTACTTTAAAGCTTTTTTTTTTTTTTTTTGGTATCTTTCCTGTTTCTACTTTACTTGAGTAAATTGATGTCCCACTTACTCACGTGTTATTCTTGATTTTATATTAGTTGAGGACGCTAACCTTAACGACAAAAGTGACTTTGCAAATCTGCAAGTTGTCGCTGAGAAGGGACTTCAGGTGTTCACTTTCAAGCAGTTGCATTCTGCAACAGGGGGCTTCAGCAAGTCAAATGTCATTGGTCATGGTGGATTTGGACTTGTTTACCGGGGAGTGCTCAATGATGGCAGGAAAGTTGCCATAAAATTCATGGATCAAGCAGGAAAGCAAGGGGAAGAAGAATTTAAAGTAGAGGTTTGTTGTCTCTTTGAACATTTTGGGCCAGCCCTGTTTCTTTTCTAGAAGCTATGAAAAACCCAATGCATTGTTCTTCGTGCTTATGTTCTTATTTTCCCTCGTAATCAAATTATCAAAACAATGAAATTTGTAGATTATGAATCATCATACTTTTTTGGCCATGTGTCTGTTAATTAGATAGCAAGAAACCAATTCATTTTTGGTAATTGAGTTAAATTGGTTGATCACATCTCACTGTAGGTGGAATTGCTAAGTCGTTTGCATTCTCCATATCTGCTGGCATTGCTTGGGTACTGCTCTGATAGTAATCATAAATTGCTGGTGTATGAATTTATGGCACATGGTGGACTGCAGGAACATCTTTATCCTGTCAGCAGTAAGTCATGAAAACATATATTTGCTAATAAGCTTTTATTCTTGCTAATTTAAATGTTGTGAATGGATGAGACTACAGATAATTTTTCTTACTTGACAGTCAGTAGCTCAGATTCTCAATTTCTCATGATGGGATGGATGTGTCATATGTCCCTGGGATTTTGATATAACCATATCCACTTTTGCTACAATTTTTCCGTTTGCTACTCCCGGTGCCAACTGCCAAGTTAGGAAAAATTGATTAGAATCATTTTTAGTTTGAATGAGTAACGCTTTCCAAACCTGTTAAGGAATATATTTGTTGATAGATAAATCTATTAATCTTGCAGTATTGAACATCAGAGTTAAATTTATGAAATTATTGATTGAAAACAGTCCTGTCAGCATGCACCCAGTTTGACTGGTTGCATTTGGTACTCTTAGTAACTGATTTCTTACATATATGCCTTTGTTCTGTTGTGTAAAATTTAATGGCATGTCCATCTAAGCAATGAAAATAATTTTCGCCAAACTCTGTCTTTTGTGATCTCTCCCTTGAACTTTTTCACTCTGCAAAGCTTATTCTTCCCTTCTAAAGTTTATCATGACTATGGGTTGGAAGTGACACTAAACTATGTTCCGTTCATGTTACACAATCTGGACAGTGATCTTGAAGTGATAACCATGGTATTTAAGCCTCAAATTACATTAATTGTTTAATTTGTCATTGCTTTTTCAGATGTCTAAATTTTACATACATAGCTGTTAGGTGGTCAAAAGTAATTTATATGCATCTTGTTTGAGGAAAGGTCCTAAGTCAGGCGGTTTATATAATCAATCATCTTGCAAGAGGTAAAAAAATTAGCCACTTTATTGATTTTTCACTGCCTTCAGTCTCTCATTTAGGGAGAGAGAGCTGTTAGGTAGGAAAGACAGGAGTTCTCTTATCTGTTCTAACAAGAGTTGAGTGGCTGTAAGAGAGGTCTTAAGAAAGTGATTTGGAATCTAACTCAACCTTACAAAACTGGTTTGTAAGGTTACAATTGCTTCCCAATTATATATATTACTAGTATGACCATTTCACTAGTCGATGTGGGATCTCCAACTAGCTACGTGAAGGATGTGTGTTGGGCATACCACATCGATTAGAGATAAGATCATAATAATATATATAAGTGGGGAGCAATCCTCCCCTTCCAAACTGGTTTTGTAAGATTGAGTTAGGCTCCAAACTACTTTCTTAAGAAGAGGCTTACTTGAAGTTGCAATCCTTTCCTCTAAAATAAATCACTAGGTGTATTGAACCCTATGTAGAACAGGAAATGTACCAATGCTTGCAAAAACGTCTTACTTAAACAATTTTATGAAGTATGAACCAATGCATCATAAGCGTTATCTTTTGATTTGAACTCTAGAATCTCCGGTGTATGAGGAACGAGGATGAAAATGTACAATGTTTGACATATAAGAGGAAATTTCTTATGGGTCAGGCATGACATAAAGTTTATTTTAAAATAATTTCTATTCTTAGTTTGTCAATTTGAGCTATTGTGAGAACTTGATCAGAAGCTGGAGCAGAAGTTCTAATATCTCTCCCATTACCATGAAAACAAAATTTGCAATGATTTGTAATGAAGTGTTATATTGTATCTTATTCCGTAAATCTAGGTGTGTATTAAAGCATTTTTGTTCATTCTTTTTTATTTTGGAGCCATTGTCTCTTAATGCAGACATTACAAGATCATAAATTACGTTGTTCTGTCTCCTCCCATTTTCGTGTAAATTTTTTAATGGCGGTCTAGTTAATATAAAATGCCCAAGTTTTGCGTCTGCAGTGATAGTTGCTATTTTTTGTCCGTTATTTTGTGTCATCTTGTATGTCTGTATTGATTTTGACGAGTTGGTTTTCCTGTAGATTCTAATGTTACAGCTGTAAAGTTGGATTGGGAAACTCGATTAAGAATAGCACTTGAAGCTGCTAGGGGCTTGGAATATCTTCATGAACATGTCAGTCCTCCAGTGATTCACAGAGATTTTAAGAGCAGCAACATCCTCTTGGATAAGAAGTTTCATGCCAAAGTTTCTGATTTTGGATTGGCAAAGCTTGGACCTGATAGAGCTGGTGGACATGTTTCAACTCGAGTTTTGGGCACCCAGGGATATGTTGCTCCCGAGTACAAATCTTGCCTCAATTTGTTTTTACATTGTTTTGGTTATTCTATTTGTCTAATCTTTATTTTTATTACAATAGTTGTTCTTTGAGTAATTTCATCTCATGACAAACTAGTGTTTTGTTTCCTAATGTTTGATTGTGCAGATATGCACTAACAGGACATTTAACAACAAAATCAGATGTGTACAGTTATGGTGTTGTACTTTTGGAACTGCTCACTGGCCGAGTGCCAGTTGATATGAAGAGACCTCCAGGGGAAGGTGTTCTTGTTTCTTGGGTGCGTTTGTTAATTCTTTTCACCAATCAAGTTCTATGTCGATTATGTATCGCGCAGTGAAAGTTAATTAATTAATGGCAGTCTAGTATTTCCATTTACGGGAACAAGAATATTAGACAACTAACATTTATATTTCAGCACCAGTGCTTTCTAACAAACTTGCATCTGCTATTTGTGTTTAGGCTCTCCCCCTTTTGACTGATAGAGAGAAGGTTGTAAAGATTATGGATCCTTCATTGGAGGGACAGTACTCCATGAAAGAGGTTGTCCAGGTGGCTGCAATTGCTGCAATGTGCGTGCAACCGGAGGCCGATTATAGGCCGCTCATGGCAGATGTTGTGCAGTCATTGGTTCCACTGGTGAAGACTCAAAGGTCCCCTTCAAAGGTAGGCAGCTCTAGTTTCCATTCCCCTAAGTTGTCCCCAGGCCCCACATCCATTTAATGCATGTAATGTCACATATTATCAACATTTAAATGAAGGATAGGTACATGCTCACCAAACTTAGATTTGTAACCTCGGTAGTTGCTGTTTCTTTGTAATCTTAATTCTTAAACCATGTGATGCTGATTGAAGAGGGAAAAAATGCTGGGCTTAATGTTAATAGTTTAAATTAATGAAAGATAGACCTGTTTATATTTTAGTTTGTGGTGGGGGGTTCTGCTTAAGAATCACCTTATATGTCTAATGTCTCCCATAAGATAAGATGGTTGCTTTACTAATCATCATGGCTCTCAATTTTCAATTATTGTATCCTTGAAGGTTAACAAAGAATAAGAAATGAAGAGAGAGAGAGAAAACAGTTAAACACGCCTTAGGGGATTCGTCATCCTAGTGTCCCCTCGCATGACTTTTTCCATTCTTGTATTTTCTTTCTGGGACATAGGTTTCCTTTGGAGGTTGATATTTGTTAGTCAACATCATGGCATGAAGATAAAAAGCTAAACCTGGAGACTATTAAACGTATCATGGGGGAAATAATTAAGTTGTGTTTGGTTAAATATGTAAACATTGTTGACGAAATGAGCGCAAGATTCTCAAAGTTTTAACCCTATTTCTAATTTTAGTACGTTATTGAGAACCCGTGTTTCAACTATTGTTTTGCCGCATTTGATCATGAGTTCATATCTGTATGTTCCTAAATCCTGGTCTGTTTCATGGCAATGTATAGAAAATCGAATTCATTTTTAATTTCGTTGATGAGTCTCTATAACAAATGCAGTCTATAAAATTTTGCTTGTCTAAAAGAGGTACCAATTCATGCGTTATCACCAAGTCTAAGGGTGTTTGAAAGTTGAATTTACAAGTTTTTGCTCTTTTCTTTTTCATGAAAATGTGCGTTTATCTGTCAAATGTGGTTTTAAATAGACATTCAAATATACTTTAAGAGTGCATAATAACAAACCCCGCAAACTGATGAGTTCATGAATAAAAGAATGAGGACAAAGTAGGCTATATTTAAACTCTTCCAATAAAGAATTACTATTCAATTTGCTGAACATTCTCGCCCGATACATGGGAAAATATAAAAATTAGTAAACTAAATTATAAGAATTTAATAGTTTTAAAAACTTTGTATCATTATAAAATATTTGCTTATGTCGTAAGTCATGCTTATCGTTCTTTAACTTTACATCAAGTTGAGAAAATTTTGGTTATTTTTTCCCCTGAATGGTATCATCATATGACCTGTAAGTTTTGCTAGAACCAGAAGTAGGATTGAAGAAACAATTATTATTCTATGAAATAATATATTATTTTGTAGTCATATCACTAAGTTAACATTTTGTAATTAATATTCTTACGTCTGAGGACTAAGTATACCAATTTTAAGAAACTCCCTTGGTACAAATGTAAATTTTTTTTTTATTATTATTTTTTATAATGGCGTTCCTATTTATCTTGAGAGAGTTAAGAGTGTGCAAAAAATTTAAATCGATGCATAATCGATTTGATTTGTATTAAAAAATCTGATTTATTTTTTTGGAAAAAAATTTGAATTGATCCACTCTATAAAAGTGCTCTAATTATCAAATTCATTTTTACAAAGTAGATCAATTTGATTCAGTTAAGTTTTTTTTTAAATTGATCCATATGTGAGTAAAAAATAGATAATTACACTATATCTAACCGATTTAGTTTCAAAAAAATCGATCCATATTTTAAAAAAATTAAATCGATTCACTTTATAAAAATATGGATAAGTTAATCAATCTATTTTTATAAAAACAGGTCGATTCAATTCGGTTTGAATTTTTTTTAAAATATGATCCATGAATACCTCTAACCTCAGTCGACCTATCTATAAGCATAGACACATTTGTAAATAAAAATATTTTTTAAATTTAGTTATGACTATATTAAATGAATGGGAAGAAGTTACCCATATATATTTTTATCAACTAAATATATTATTCATTCTTAACAATTATGATTGGTGAAATTTATGATTATTAGGAATCATCATTTTTAAGCATAATTTTTTTTCCTTCTAACATTTTCTAAAGTTTATTTATTTTTGCCTCCCACCCCTAATTAGTTTCTATATTTATCTTCCCTCATCATGTCTCAAAAAATTGAAGAAGACAACCAATATGTGGTTGGTCCCATTAAAATTGATTTAAATTTCTTAAATAAGTTGTCTTATGAATAAAGAATATATAGTTGTAGAAGGAAAAATTTATTAAAAGTGATTACTCAAACTATCTAATAAAAGTTAATAATTCATAAAATTAGTAGATATTTTACACTTATTATATGACACTCAAAAAAAAATTCAATTACAAAACATTGGATCATTTACCTTCATTATTTGGTGCTAAAATTGACCGACTTAGTAGATTAGCTATAACTCTCATATTATTGGGCTAAATGATAAGGACAAACCCTTGAATTTAGTCTAAAAAGAACCAAACGTGTTTGATTAAGTATTTTTTCTTTTCAAATTCATTTAGAGAGAGAGAGAAAAAAAAGAGAGAGAATAATTTGACCTAGCTTGGTAGGCCAATGAATCAATTTGGACTTTTCCTTTAAATAGAAATATTGTTAAATCAAAAATCATGTTTTAAGACAACAAACGATCCCTTAAGTTTTAATGATGATAAACTAAAGATTTTCTTTAAGCAAAGTCGACATTTTTCAAAGACAAAGCATATTAGACGAAATGTGAAGATTATATATATATATATATATAGTTACTCTTATCAAACATTCTAAGAACAAAGCTGAAGCACTATAAAAAAATCTTCATTGTAAATCTTGTACATAGTTCTTTGTAGTCTATTTATGTTGTATTTTCATAGCATCACGTGTAGAAGAGATGAAGCTATCCTTGTAACTCTTGTCAAATTTATTTGTAAGGATTCATGAGCTTGAAGAGGCTTGTTTAAAAGAATACTTAAGTTTGAGCTTAGAGGCTTGTTGAAAGAATTCTTGGTGCTAAGCCTGGAGAGGCTTGTTGAAAGAATACTTGATGTTTAGTCTGGAGAGACTTGTAGAAAGAGTACTTAGTGTTTAGCCTAAAAAGGCTTGTAGAAAGAATAATTAATGTTTAGCCTCGAGAGGCTTGTAGAAAGAATACTTGGTTTGAGCCTGGAAAGGCTTGTTAAAAGAATACTTAAGTAGTTGTTTGAAGAGGTAAGTCAACGAATACTAAGGTTTGAGTGGTTGACTTGAGAACTGGACATAATCTCTGTGTTTGAGATGAACTAGTATAAAATATTTGTGTCCTTTCGTATGATTGAATTCCAATACTTCGTCTGCATAACATGTACTACTTCATTGCATATTAAAAGCGCGAGTTTTTTTATATATATTATTCAACCCCTTTTAGTATGTATCTTTTTTTTCCAACAAATATAATGATCATAATAATAAGGGTGAATTTAGAAAATATATAAAAATTAAATTATTTTAATAATTAATTATATGTATAATTGATTATAATTATAATTATTATTTTTAGATAAATTTTGATAAAAAAAATGATTTTGAGGTAATTAATTTTTGTTTAATATAACAAATAATCAGTTATTTGTGTAAAAAAACAAATAATCAATTATTATGTAGTATATCAAGTTAAAACAAAAAAAAAACTTTCAAAAAATAATTATAAGTTTCACATTTTCAACTTCATAAAATTAAATTTTTTTCTCAGAAAAAAATTATTTATAAATTTAAATTATTATCTCCAATGTACACTTATTTTACAAACAACTTTATTTTAAAAAAAGGCGAAATCTAAATTTTCAACTTTATAATTTCTCAGATGTCGAATCAGTTAGCTACAGTTCTGACTTTTACATGGTTTAATTCATGTGAGTATGCAGCTAAGTTTTCTAAGGTATTAATTACAATACTCATCCCCTGGCCAAACACATCATAATAAGCAAGTGATGTGGGTTGCGATCATAATCTATCCTTATCCAATTAAGACACATCTTTATAATGATTGACCACTAGAATGTAGACTACAGATTTCTTGTCAAATCATATAAGTTCAATTCACTGAATTTCCATCCATATATACCTTTGTCAACCTTTATACAAAGTCTTAAAAATTAATTTTCATTTGAACATCATTATAAAAAAGTGGACACAACTAACTCTTTTTCATTTTTTTTATTATTATTTTTTTTATAGAAACGTGGAAGCTATATATACCCAAAAAAATTTTCTATTCATTTATTTTGTTAATTTTGATTTGACAAAATAACCGATTAAGACAAAGATGTGTTTGACTTAACCAAATCTAATTCAAGTTATATGCAGTGCTTTAATTACATGCATAACTAGTAAAAATAGGTCAAACTGATCCCTCCTTTGGTTCTCCTAAAAAGGATACTACTGTTATGATTAGAATCATCTTTTATATGCTTTTTGCTACATTCTTTGCGTTCAGTAGAATATATATATGAAATTAAAATCATAGTACTGACGTGTAAAGTAACAGCAATCATGCATATCCTTTCATTAAGATAAAAGGTGAAAAGAAGAGGCACACAAATCATAAGTAGAAAAATACATCATGCAATTTTTGTTATTGTTATTATCACATTTTAGCATTGATCATGTCTAGCAATGAGAGAAGGGCATCGTATGAAAGATCTTTGTGGCATCTTCCCAGATATTCTTCAAGATTAAATTGAAACCTCGTTAATTAGGCTAATCGAATAAATAAATGTGATCACTGGAGAATAAACACATTTCCCCAAGTCGTCTTGAGCTAGTTGAGAAGAAATTTGGTTTTCAACTTTAAATATCCAGAAGGACTAATTCATACTTTAGATTTTTCTCCCTTTGTTGGTGTTTCACCATCTTCAATTATGTAACTGCTCTCTTGTTTGTTATTTTTGAATGAAAAATTAGTACAAATATTTATAATTAAGAAAATAAAATAAAAACAAATGAAATAATTTTTCCACAAATTAAAATAAATTTTAGAAAAATTAATATTAGAAAATTTCTACAAATTAACTTATTAATTAATTAGATTATAGAAAAATTTATTTTATCATTCTTTCTTATTTTATTTTCTTCCTTTATAAGTACTTGTGAAAAAGTACTTATCTAAACATATGAATTCTCTAGTGGTAAGCCATCTTCTACTTGTATCTTCTCTCCATGTGGCTCCCAAAAACTTTAAAAAGGTAAATTAAAGCTGATATGGTGCAGCCATGTTTGAAAGTTGGTACAATTAATTTCTTTTTTCACATTTCTCTCTCTTTAATAATATATCTCAATCACTTCCTTGTTGTGTCTGCATATGCACCGAAACCCTATATATTGCACACCCTCTTGCATTGGCTTCTTCATCTTCTCAACACAACACAAATCACTACTTAGATAAATGGCCCTCTCATTACGTATCCACTTCTTTGTTGCACTTTCTCTCCTTGCTTGCTCTACCAATGCACAACTTTCTACCGACTTCTATGATAAAACTTGTCCTAACCTTCAAAGCATTGTGAGAAATGCAATGGAAAAAGCTATCAATGGAGAAGCTCGCCTTGGAGCCTCTATACTTCGATTGTTCTTCCACGATTGTTTCGTGAATGTAAGACCACAACTTCTTACTCTTTCTTTATTATTAGTTGTAAATTATTAAAAAAAAAACGTGTGAATATTCTTATTAATGAGTTTCATTTGTGATTTTTTTTTGTAATTTTTTTTAATAAATTTTAACTAATATTTGTTTTAGAAATACTGAGTTAGATTTTACCATTTAAACTTGTATAAATAATTAAGATTAAATTGAAGTATTTATGTGTATTTTATGTATTTAAGGTTAAGGTTACTTCTTCTAACAAAATTTCACACGTTTTAGGTTAATTTTATAGTTTTCTTCGAAAGAGCCAAAAAGAATTACATTTAGTACTGAAACTTTTTGAATATGCCGTGCAATTATGTTTTTTTTTATAATTATTATAATTATCATATCATTGATATGAATTATTTATTGATTCAATTGATAACTAATTTTTATTAGAAGACTTGATTGATTATTTTTAGTAATTTATCTTTTTAATTAATTACATTTCTTTTATTCATAGGACTAAAATTTAATATTTTTTTTAAAAGGATTTTGATATCACTAAAATTAATAATTTATTGCAAATCTTATATAATTCATGTGAAATAATTAATTATTGATGCAAATTTCACCGAAGGAAGGAAAGCAATAAGTAGTAGGAAAATATATGTTTTTTTTTTATAAAATGAATTAATATCACGGTATACAATTATTTTAGTTAGGTCTTGACTTATGGAGATAGATATCAACATTAACATCTTAATTAGTTTTATTTCTTTGTAATTAAAATTTCAGGGTTGCGATGCATCAATCTTATTGGATGACACTGGCACCTTCGTCGGTGAGAAAAATGCAGTGCCTAACCAAAATTCAGCGAGGGGTTTCGAAGTGATTGATACCATTAAAACCATCGTTGAATCTGCTTGCAATGGCACTGTCTCTTGTGCAGATATTCTTGCACTTGCAGCAAGAGATGGGGTAGTTCTGGTGAGCCATCTTTTCCTCCTTTATTTTGACCCATTAATTTCATTTTTATTTGTCACTGTCTTCTACAGAATATATTATTATATACATTTGGCAGTGACTATATGGTAATTAAGTAATTACATAAGAAAAACATATGAAAAAAATAATAATTAAGTCATTCTCAGAAGCATATAGCTATTCTAAGTTGATGTTTATTTTTAACCTAACATGTGCATTTTGGCATGGGATTATTTTCAAACCATGTTCCCCACTTTCGGTTTTTACTTTTTCCCTCACACGTAATTGATCACCATGTCAACTCTTGTAATTTAGCGGGGTCCCCGTCCTTTGCACAAAGAAACTATATCACACAAAACAATAATAAAAGATAAAGAAATAATAAAATAAAAACCATATATATATAATCAAATTCTGGTGTCAGCCTTGTCTCATTATTCTCGAGAAAAAGAGCACTCATTATCTTCCCTTTTAAAAACCTGAAAAACACAAGTACCCTCAAACCTTTGTCTCGTGCTGTGTTTTCCATTTTTCGCTTTCACTCCCCACTTCCTGTCTCAATAATTCACCATCATTCAGTGTATGTTTGGTTTTTCTCTGGAGTGATTTAAGCATGTCTTTGATTAATTTGTGTTGGATCTTCCGTGTTCAAATGTTAATTAACCTAATTTTTTAGTTAAATATATTATATGTTTGATTCTTTGTTAAAGAATTGATCTTGGGTCCAAAAATTATTTTTTAAGTTAAATAGTTTTTGTATTGGATCAAAATTTATATTAATTTTTAAGATACAAAGTTCCAAATATAAATCACGACATCTCAAAATCGATTTTAACAAAATCTAAAATCAATTTAATTAAATATTAATTTTGAAAATATACTCATTCACACATACAAAAAATTACATTGAAAAGCTTACTCTAGTGATCTTTAAGTTTTGAAAACAATTAGTCTTTGAGTATCGATCAATTGAAAATACCTTTTCTACAAATGAAAAAAATTACATTGAAATATTAATTAATTAGTGTGATTTTAAGCAAATGTTAACCTATTTAGTTAATAATTTTGAATTGAAATAACTTTTGTGTTAGATAAAAACATTTACACTAAATATTAGTATAAAGACTCTCAATCACTTCAAAATCAATGTCATTCAAAATCAATTTTACCATTATTCATCTAGTATGTGTTTAAATCGGTGGTAAGTTAAACTATTCATGATTTTTATAACTTTTATGATAAACTTGCCGTGATTTTATACTCATCATAGTTTTCTACGATGAAACCAAACACACTACTAATAGTACTCATTTTGGCAGCTTGGAGGGCCCTCATGGGCAGTACCTCTAGGTAGAAGAGATGCAAGAACAGCAAGCCAGAGTGCAGCCAACAACGAAATCCCTTCTCCATTCTCTGACCTTCCCACACTCACTTCCATGTTCGCCGCCAAAGGCCTAAGCGCACGTGACCTCACCGTGCTCTCCGGCGGCCACACCATAGGGCAAGCCCAATGCCAGTTCTTCAGAACTCGCATATATAACAATAACAATAACAACAACAACAATAACAATATTGATGCCGACTTTGCGGCATCAAGAAGGGCCATTTGCCCTCCCTTTGGTGGGGACTCCAATTTGTCCCCTATGGAATCCCTCACTCCAAATCACTTCGACAACTACTACTACTCAGAGATTGTGGCTAACCGTGGCCTTCTCGACTCGGATCAAGTGCTTCTTAGTGACCCTTTGGTCACGACTTATAGTACCAATAATGCTGCTTTTTTCACTGACTTTGCTGATGCTATGGTTAAGATGAGCAACATCAGTCCTCTCACTGGGACTAGTGGAGAAATCAGAAAAAATTGCAGGCTTGTCAATTGATCGATCATGCATGCATGCACGTTCTTTTTCATTTTCTCTTTAATTATTGTCACTTTTTTTTTTCTCTGTTCGCATGTGGGGCTAATAACAGGGGGATGTTAGCATTCGAATAAATGGTTTATGAGATATTTTTGAATGGAAAGAAGCACGTTGATTTAGTTAGTGTTATTCTTCCATCAAAATTAGAATTTTATCTTAGTAACATGTGTTAATATGCAATGAAAATATTTTTGTGCATATTACGTACTAAGGTAAAATTTTAATCCTCATAAACGAACAATAACAACAATATATATTTATGATATTGCATGTAATAAAGTTTTGTCTCTTTTGAATTTATGTGAGGCATAAATTACAAGGTCTAGGTCGTAAAGTATGACTAGATCTTGGACATATTGGCAATTGTAATGTTGTTAGTGACTTTTTCCTTTGTTAATTTGAATGGTTCAAGTTGGATTCAAATTCTGTCACCGAATTAAAGGGAAAAGGAAATGAGGGGACTTGGTTTGGTTTGCTACTTTTTTTATGCATCGCAACGTCGTTATCTGCTATGGTACTGCTGCATTATTTTATATATACCGCAGAGCAACTTTTTAAACATAGATACGATAAAAGTTGAAAGTTACAAAATATATAGTTTTCAATTCGTACGGTATATAAAAAAATAATGAAGTTTTTCATTCGTACCTTGTTGACTTCATACGATTCATCAATGCATGTGTATTTTAGTGCGTTTCATATATATACACTAGGTATGATCCAAATGCATGATAAAATATAAGTTAATGTTACATATGTTTAGACATATATTAAGAGTTGATGTTAGATTTAAAACTGATTTTGAGTTTGAAGTAATTTTAAATAACTTTCATATTAGATTAAAAAAATTATAAAATTTTATTGATTAATATTTTAGTTTGTGCAATGCAAATACTAAATATTTTAAAGTTATAATTGAATATGTAAATTATACTATATTTAAATTTTACAATAAATAAATACTTTATATATATATATATATATATATATATGAGTTAATCATCCATACACTGTTAGTGTAAAAAAATTTATACTGACAAC